CGCTCTGCTGAGCACGCCAAGCTTTTTAGAGGCCAATTTGGCCTTCTCTTCCAAGTGACCACGAAACTGCACGTCACTCGATATGTCGACTCCGAGGATACCGATTCTGGCTGAGGCAACAAGGGGAGTGCTTTGAAACTGATGAGATACGACAAAGGGCTTCTTTTTAGCGGTAAACGCGCAAACTTGTGTCTTCTGAGGATTTTTAAAAATTGCTAAAATATGACGAAGTAAATAATGCTATATCTAAATTAGTAAATTGATTCAATGTTAATAATTTGCATTTAAATGGCACTAAAACGAAATGTATGAAATTTATGACTGCAAATGTCAAACAATTAAATACTAATGTAATTTTAAATGGGGAGAAACTGAGTCTTGTAGATACCACTATTTTTCTTGGAATCACACTAGACGCGAAGCTTCAATGGCGCCCCCATATATCAAAACTAGCAAGCAGACTTAGTTCTGCAGCATATGCCGTAAAAAAGATTAGAAGTCTAACTAGTGTTGAAACAGCTAGACTAGTTTACTTTAGCTATTTCCATAGAATAATGTCGTATGGTATTTTGCTATGGGGACACGCAGCTGACACTGAAATTATATTTGTTTTACAGAAGAGGGCCATAAGAGCAATTTATGATTTAAAGCCTAAAGAGTCGCTGCGACTAAAATTTAAGGAAATTAATATATTAACTTTGGCCTCTCAATACATTTATGAAAATGTAATGTACGTACACAAAAATAAAAGTAGTTTTACAAAAATAAGTGATATTCATTCTGTAAATACTAGGAACAGACACAAGCTAGTAGTACCAGTTACTCGACACCATCGAGTCAGTAATTCACTCTTGGGGCGATGTATACGCTTTTACAACAAAATTCCAGAAAATATACAAAATTTGACCTGCTTAAAGTTCAAAAACTTTATTAAACTAAGTTTGTATAAAAAGGGTTATTATAATATTAATGAATTTATAGATGATAATAACCCCTGGAAATGAGGTGATCGCTACCAAGCTATTTCTAATTTATTGTGTTGTTAATTTGTGTAACAAACATGATTGTAAGCTGTTATTTAAAAAAAAAGTCCCGCTGGGTTTCTTGCTGGTTCTTCCCAGGACAGAGGTTTTTTTTCGAACCAGTGCTAATCATACAAAAGAGTGACTTTCAATAAGTATTATTTATAATCTATATTGAATAAAAAAGTTTCTGTTTCTGTTTCTGTTTCTATTAAACTGGACTAGATTTAGTCGCCCCCAATCCGATACTTTGTTCAGCAAAGACTCGACTTCAGACGCAAGTTTGTTCCGGTACTCGGTGACGTTTTCCCGAGAAATATTGGCACGGCCGGTGTATAGATCATCACCAGTGCTGTCATACGCATAGCAATGAATGTTACCAGTTAGCAACATATCATTGATGTGCAGGAGAAACAGCGTTGATGATAGCACACAGCCGTGTGGAACACCAGCGTTAATAGGCTTGTAGTCGGAACATGCACCGTCTACAACGACCTTGATGCTCCGATCTGCAAGGAAGCTGGTGATCCAATCGCACAATTTCTCGGGAAGCACATAGGAAGGGAGCTTCGAAAGAAGTGCTTTGTGCCAAACCCGTCCGAAGGCCTTCGCAATGTCCAGACTAACGGCCAACGCCTTCGCCTTGGACACTACTGCCTCCGCCCATCTATGGGTCAGGTAGACCAGAAGATCACCAGCTGATCGACCCCGACGAAAACCGTATTGGCGGTCACTAATCAGCTGGTGATCCTGAAGGTACTGGATGAGCTGGCAGTTAATAATGGATTCCATTATTTTGGAGGACAAGGAGGTGATCGCGATAGGCCTATAGTTGGACGGGTCTGAGCGGTCGCCTTTTTTAGGGATCGAGTGGACAAAAGCTGTCTTGCATGAATTCGGGACTACGCCTTGGGAGTAGGAGTACCGGAAAAGATGCGTTAGGACCGGTGCCAACTTCGGAGCACACGTCCTCAGCACAATTGGGGGGATTCCGTCAGGCCCACTCGACTTCTGGATGTCCAGGGAGAGAAGTGCTTTGCGAATCGAGCGCTGTGAGAACAGCACATCCGGAATGGAGCACTCACACCACGGGATGGTAGGCGGTGTTTTCGCCGCCGTCATCTAGAGTCGAGTTGGACGCAAAAAGGGAGCCTAAAAGGTCGGCTTTGTATTTTGCGTCTTGGGCCAGTGAGTCGTCCTCCCTGTGCAGAGATGGTAGTGATGGCTTACAGAAATTCCCTTGGACAGCCTTGGCGAGAGACCAGAACGCACGGGTTCCCGAAGGAAGGCGAACTAGTTTCTCGCCAATTCTGCCTATGTGCTCTAACTTTGCCTTGGCAATAACTCTTTTGAAGGACCTGGAGGCGAAGTTATACTTCTTTTTAAGTGTGCTGGTGTTTACATCCCGAGTCGCCGAAGCCGCAGCCCAGGCTTGATAACGCTCCTGCTTACTGCGTAATGCAGTCTTACAGGAGCGACCAAACCAAGGCTGAGATCTGCCTCCGATAGGTACCACAGATGATGGCATAAATTCCATTCCCTGTAGCACCACATCAGTGACAGAGTCAGCAACAGCGCTGGGATCATCCGGCGAGAAGCAAACCCGCCCCATGGGTAGGAAGCAAAGAAATACCGCATTCCGTCCCAATCCGCCGACCTGTAATGCCAAACACGGCGGCAACCTGCAGAACGCAACCGCGAAGGGAGCGTGAGTGGCACCATACTCCGGATCAGACAATGGTCCAAAGAGCCGAGATCGACGGAAACCTGATATCCGTCCGGATGAGAGGTCAGCAGAAGGTCCAACAGGGAAGGTGTATGATCCTCCACATCTGGAATCCGCGTAGGCGAAGTGACCAGTGGTGTCAGACCATATGCCATATCTCAGTCGATTCTGCAACAAGCCCATGAAAAGCCATCAGGCGATGGTGAAACGTGTGTTCCTGTACTTGAGAGGGATAGCGACAGCAGAAATCCACTTCGGAGGAGACAAAGAACTCGTGGCCTACACTGATTCAGACTTTGCAGGGGATTCTGAAACAGGACAGTCGACGAGTGGAGTGTTAGTGATGAGAGCAGGACCAGTAGTCGAGTACAGAGCTGCGGTGTCAGTGATTGACGATGTATGCTGGATCAAACGAATGATCACCCTGAAGGTCGACAACATGTCAGCCATAGACATGTTACAGAATGCACACGAAGGAAAGACGACCAGAGGAAAGAACCACATTGAGATACCACGAAAGCACATCCAGCAACACGTCTGCAACACTGTGACACTGCAACACGTTGAGAGCAGCAAGCAGATTGCAGACATTCTCACCAAGCCACTCAACAGAAGTCTTTGAGACGCGCCGCTGTAAATTGATCAAGGAGGAGTGTTGAGAATTGATCAATTGACAGCGGACCTGACATAACTCAACCTTGATCCTATACTACTTCACACTTTACTTTTGTTTTATATAGAGTCAAAGTTGGCAATAATGTATTCTCATATTTTGTGTAATTAAATTGGCAAGCGACAAGCCTACCTTTTGATAACTTCATGTAACAGTGACAAAGCGAAATTGGATGGCGAAAGGCAAAACGTGCTCGAAATTGCAATCCTGAAAGTGTAAAGTACTGGACAACAATCCGTCGATTGTTTGTCAAGAGTTTTGTTCAAGAAAACAAGTATTGTCAAAACGTTCAAAAGGTATGTTCATTTTGTATCAATTTAAGCTGTAATTTTGCACTCAAAAACTTGTCGCCACATGCTAAACTTTGTTTATAAATTTCTTTCACAGAATATGTAATAATTGTAAACAAACAAAAAATTTGCTTTTGTATAGTCTTGAATATTTCTCTTTATTAAAATTGTGAAATTTAGATACTGATTCAATTGTATATTGACAGGTACCTTTTGAAACTCTGTTCAATAAACGGACATTTGTCAACTTTGGACTTCATCATTTGTCAACAAAAGAACTCAAACCAATTGAATTCACAACAGCTACAGTGTAATTTGTTCAAACTTCAGAAGTGGGATCGTACTTACAATATCCGGGTCGTATTTTGAAGGGTTAGGACAGCATAAGCGAAGATAAAGCGATATTACAATATCAAAAAAAAAAGACGAAGACAAAGATTTTTTTTAAAAAATCTAATTTCTATACGCGTTAAAAGGCACCGTGTGTTTTCTACAGATGATTCGATAATATCATACCCAAATTCTGCCGAAAATATTAAATAATTAACGTAACTGGATGGCTTCATAAAATTGACTAGTTGGGTGACATTAATGAATTTAATTGCAAATATCATCAATTTATAAGGCAGTTTCAGGCAGTGGAATAATGATCTTGAAGATTATATTATATCCTTGGGATGGGTGGAAGGAAACACTTCAAACTGCTTTTCCTGCATCTACCAGCTACTTAGATAGACTAGTAGACTAGAAGAAATGCTGGCACAGTTGAAACTAATGATGAAATAATGACAAAATATTACCATGCGAAGTTATTACTCTTCAAAAAAAGTAACATTTACGGTCATCCAAACTCCTGCATTATTTGAGGTTTACCACATGAACAGAACTTATGCCAAAGCCTACAATTGTGGAACATATCTCTACAAAACTTTAAACGTATGAAGACATTTCACATCCACATTTATACCACGCAACTAACTGCAATAAAACCACAATAATTTATTGGCGTCGCCCTCAGCTCGTTTCCAAGATTTGCTATGTTTGTCGACGACTTAAAATCTATTGGTAACATTTATTTCACATAGGGTTTTGGACTACGGGAGAGTCCTGCAACTCCAATGTGTGGTGACAGACTTATCATGGCATACATATCCTCAAATATCACGATCTTTTCCTTCACCATCGAGTGTGTGGTAAATCGACATTAAAATTGCAATTTTTGATCGATGGCATTGAGGATCGATTGTGGAGTTCGAGTTATAAATGAAATATAATATTATATATCTCACCTTAGTAGTGACTTTTTATCTTTTATTTTATATACAGGCTTAAATATATATTTTCCATCTTGTGTGCACTCTATTTTAGGGTTATTTTGTAGAGCCTCTGTTTGCAGCCACTGTAAAATAATTTGGTCATGCTATAAAAATTAATAGAGATACAAAATAATTTGGATCAAAGATAAATTTCACATTGCAAATAGTATGTTAATGATTTTTTACTTGAGAGCCCAAAAAGAGGTCACAATTATTTTTAAATATACGTACAATTATCCGAATAATATAACGTTATACGATATATCGCTATTAGTGGTTTTTCATTATTGGTACACTATGCACGTTGGCGGTACGGGCTAGATGAGTCGCCATTTCTAATCCCATTCTTTATCCGTACGGACTGTACTATGATTATTGCATGGATAGTTTGCTTAGTGAGCAAACAAAAATATACCTATAATTTTTTACGTTACGGAAAGATTAGAATTAGGAAATACATTCATTAGCAATTTTGAAAACATATAGGTAAAGCCATACTGCAGATATATTATGGTTGTAGCACGAATGGGTTGGGACCACACTCTCACAGAGTACCAGCGTAAAATAGCAACTTGATGCTGTTGTATTTCGTATGGTGAGTGTAGAAAACTGGAGACTCCTTTACTCATTTATCAAAGCATCCCATCTTAGTCCTCAGGGGTGACAACGCATCTGCATTTTGATTCGTAATCGAGGTGAGATGTGGATGTCTATGGCACAACGCATTCACCTACTGTCAGGTGGACTGTGTGGTTATTTGTAACCGTAATTCTATAAAATAAAACAACATAATAATGAAGAAACTAGCAAAATAATTTACTGGAATTATTACCGAATATTAATTATATTACTCGTTTTCCCTCCCAGTATTTACTTATTATAATATTAGTATTTACTTAGAATAAATTATATGTCACATTTAGAGTTCCTTCCACAGTCAAATTTAACTATTTTTAAGAGACAGTAAAAAAAATATAAGACTATATTAAAGTAATAGTTATAAATTAAATAAAGAAAAAGAGTTAAACCTAGGTACTGTATTTTTTAACTGTTCGTTGACAGCACTCGGTAACCGTGTCCGGTCGTCCATGACGTAAGAATGGGAAAAGATGCAAAGCAATACGGACATTCGCACGCATCCATATAGTTTAATTTAGCTTGCGTGTGTGATTTATCTAATTAATAATAATTAATCGTCGGTAAGAAGATTAACTCGAAGGAGTGGAGATTTTTTATGTAGTATGTAGTTCGTAGTTCATGAGTCATGTATTTACTGGTACTGGACTGACTGACTGCCATGCAGTCAGTCAGTCCAGTACCATCAATAAGATCCAGTCAATAAGATTATAATAATACTATGTTTTAAGTTGGTTGCAGGTATTATTGGCTGGCAGTAGTCACTTATTATCCAGTAGACTGTAAGTTTGTTTCTGTATGCTTCATTTGTCATTTTAAATTTTATAAAAAAGAAAAAAACGTAAACACTTGTTATAAATTACTAACCTGTTTTACTTTATTACCAACATCCAACTGATTGGTTTCATCAAGAACTTCATCTAAAGTCAGTGGGTGATCATCTCCTTCTTGATGCCTTGCTCTCATATGTCTTACAATGCGGGCTAATACACCAAACCGATACGAGGAGCTGCCTGTCATCGTTTTATAACTAAAAAATATAAATACAATGTATTTACACATATATAGTGTTATTTTAATATTGTAAGTTTCTAATAATAATAATTATCATATATCAGGTCTAAAAAATGAAAGTGATTTAATCTATAAATACAAGGTAATTGGGTAATATATCTAGATCAGGAGTTCCCAAACTTTTGAGGTAGTGGAACACTCACAAAATACCTTTTATTTAATTGAACCTCACATCAAATGATTACATATCATTGACAATGCAATTGAATTATTATAAGTTTCACTAACTACCTACATATCTACATAACAGTAATGGGTTATTCTTATTACATATTTTGTACAAATTCAGAATAATATTACTACCACGGTGCAAAATTATTTAACATGCAATAATAAATAATTTTGTGGAACCCTGGTCACTATACCATGGTACCCACTTTAGGAATCTCTGGCCTAGATATAGTGACGACCTGGTAAGGTGTGCAGGATTTCTCCTGGCATTCCTTAGGTGCGGCTTTGTTTAGCAATAGGTCTATGAAGGGCTGTTATGATGATATATATTAAGACTAACTGTTGTTTCTTGATTGATTGACATAAAGCACATAAAAACTTGAGCAAAATTGAGAATCCTATCTATATTTGTATAATTATAATGTCCTCCAGACCTAGTAATAGTCATGACAGCCACAGGTTCACTCTCTATTCTTTCACTCTCATAGTCCAATCTTTTATGGCCTCCCATAAAACACAACCAGAAAGAGATAAGGTGCAGGCATATTTGTAAAACTAAGCAAATTATGAGGTATCAGTTGATATATATAATGGAATATACTCACTTTGTAGCATCAAGCTTTGGTTGGGTGCTGACTGAACTTGAGGACTTTGATTTCTTTTTGGACTCATCTTTGAACTGGGAATCATCTCTCTTTTTCTTTTCTATACTGTGAAGACATTAGAAATAATGAAAGTGTGATTTGTTCAATAAATACAAAGTTAGTAGTTAGTAGGGTTAATATTGAGTAAAGTTTAAAACTTGATGTTCATGTTAATCTATACAAATAAATAAAATTGGAGTGTCTGTTTATAATGTCAAAATAACAGCTCTTTATTAAATGCATATGAAAGTATATACAACACTTATAACAAAACAACAACTTTTAAAATTTTTGTCTGTCTGTCTATTTGTTTCAGCTAATCTCTGAAACGGTTGGACCGATTTTGATGCCTCTTTCACTGGCAGATAGCTAATGTTATAAGGAGCAACTTGGCTACTTTTATTTTAGAAAAATAATTAGGGTACCACACAAAAAAATTAAAACCAATAAATTCCAATCGTAATAAATTCCACACAGGCAAAGTCGCAAGGAACAGCTAGTTGGAAATAAAAAGGAATGTTAAAAAATGAGACAGATATTGCTATTCTCATAAGACTTATCAACTGCTTATTAATGTTGTAGGGTGTGAAGCAAAAACAATGACACAATTATTCTTTACACTTTTCTATGTTTTGGATTGTGTTGTTTTAATTTTATCAGCCTGTTTAATTTGAAATTGAGATACTGATAACATTTTAAAGACATTTAAATATATATAAATTAAAGGACATCAACCTGGTGGCTGTGTATAGATAGTAAAAATGTAATTTCTTAGTGTTAATATTCTTTTTAATGTATGTCTTAGTGCTTTCATAGTTACTTTGTATTGTAACTGATGCACTATAACTACTTACATAAATGATTACATTAATTTGACTATCGACTCAAATAGAAGTACCACTTGACTGAATAAAACAATATCTTTATCCAAGATCTTGTGTGTTTGTTGTAAAAACAACTTCTATTGTCTGCTGCTTAAGAATTGATCATGCCTGGCTTAGCTCAGGATTAAGTTCTTTGTGTGATTGTGGTTTAGATGAGAGAAACTATACTAACCATAATTTCACCAAATTGTCATCATCAATTAATAATCATCTACTAAAAGCAGCAGGCAATTGTTAACTGATGATGACTTGTCCAAAGACATCTTTATGTTCTTTAAGTTCCTTCTAACCTACACAAACACATCCTTTGTATATATTTCATTCCATAATATTAACTCCCGCAATATTAAACTATGATTTGTCTGTCAATTCCTTATCTTTTGTTATAGATACAACAGATAATTTGGTCAAAATCCATCACATAATATATTTTAAACCAATTTGAATAAAGGAGGAGGTTCTGAATTCCAATGTAACTGCTATAAAGGAAGGAAAAAGAAGACTTGAGCTAAATTAAAAGACTGTCAATTTCTACTTTTGAGGCCTGGTATTGGCAAATATTCTTGTATAAAAGTTGGTCATCTCGATTATAGTTACAGCCTGTATAAGTACCGCAGCTGGGAACAGGCCTCCTCTCATTTCTGAGAGGATAATGGAGCAATTTATTGTTATTTATTAGTTATAAGAAAAATTAATGTTTTTTAGGTTTGAAATTCATTTATCATTATTAATTTATGTTTTGTTGTCAATAATATTCAACGTTATGTGCTTTACTAGACATATACGATTCCTAAATATAATAATCTTGTATTTCCTTTCGTAGATTGGTGATAATTGTTGATAAGGAAGTTGTAGGAGTAGGGAGTGAGAGACAGTGAAAGTATCTGTCGTCATAAGTGGATAAAGCTAGTACTCGGCTAACAAGTATGTGGTGCGTACCTTGGCGTTGCTAGTGCTTTTTTCTTAAACGCTTCCCGTTCTCGTAACAGGGCCGGATCCATTTTTAACAAGTTATAACCTTGTTAGTCCACAAAAGGTAAGAAAATTACGATTAACTTATTATCTAATAATCATTTACTTGTGTTCTAACACGCATTCATTTTCGTCTTTCTGTTTTTGAAGAAACGTCAAAATGACAAGTTGATTGACAGCTGAAGTAATTTCTCTAATCTCTATGGTTGTTGTTGTTGCTCTTATTATTCGCTCGAGAGAGCAGGCAATAATCTCTATGGAAAATGACAGCGTCAAACCCATGAAGTTATAGATAAAGATGGAGACCACACTCCGAATACCTATTTGAAGCTTAACCTATGTATTACTATCTCGCTCTCTGTGGGCAGACCCTCCCTTTCTAAGTAGGTAACCTTTATTTTATTTTTCCCAGGATATCGCTATAAGTAGTTGAGTTACATTAAGTGTTTTATTTATAAATACCTATATCTCAGTTTACTACTAAGATCAAGCCTATTTAGATTATATATTTTTGTACAATTTTTTTTGGGAATTGACTAGTTTTATCAAGAAAGGTTTTCATTTCCATGGGCAGAACCGGTATTAAAATATGACCACGCATTTCCATCACAACCCATATAATGCCGAGCCTCCGAGATTTTATAACTACCATTTCGATAATGTATTTTCTGGTTATTGTATACAATTCCTAAACGGTACCAACGAAATATAAAATTAAAATTTATTATAACCCCGGGTTATCAATGAATTGGGCAAAATATACCTGATTTATTGTTCAGATAGACTAAATCTATTTCAGGACAATTATTTAAAAAAAATATCACGAGGAGTAAAGCAGCGTAGCGGAGGTCCTGCCATAGCCTTCTGACCTAACCCATACGAGTCAGGCTGCTCTGAGCTGAAATGTGTATAATACTATATTCCACACATACAGTTAATTTTAAGAATTATCTACAATTCCTAGGAATTCTATATAATAACGGATTTCATAGATTTCTAGTAACATATGTACTATAATAGGAACGATAATATATTATTATTTTGAGTTGTTATCAGGAAGATGCCGCTGCCCATCTCCTGTTTCATTTTCCCTCTGACACCTCTTACAACACCCTCGGAACGATATGGGGTAGTGGATATTCTCACACCGCCACTACATGGTTTGTTAAAAACCTTAATAAAATAAATAAAAACACTTTCCATATTAAAATTATTTATTGAAATTTTTCACACCATGTGGATTATTCTGTGGCTTTTTGAAGTCCTTACAGATATGAGCAAAGCGCCCTTGAATATTTTCAATTTCTGACTGACCCGTATACTTTTTAATAGTGTCCATTAAAGAAGACCTATCCTGAATTTTGTAGTTTGGCACGCCACTTTTTGCTTACGAATCTTAGTTTTCGTCTCAAGTATTTCTTCTTTAGTACACTTTATTTTCACTTGCACGCCCCTATCAATCTTCGCGGAATCGTTGTATTCACTGCTGACCTAAGAAAACAAGAAAACTTTATGAAATCAGTATTTTTAGAATCGTACATCGTATTGCTGCGCTCATAATGGTTGTAGCGTGATGTTAGATAGACTTCCTGAAGAATTGGTTTTAAAAATGCAAAAAAATATTTTCAAATCAGACTGGTATAGTTCCAGAGATTAGAGAACTCTAACAAAAAAAGAAACAAGTAACTCTTCTACATCATAATGTCAGTACAAATTTACATCACTTAACAGGTAACACATAATACACCGGAACGCGCCTTCATGAGCACGCATAAATGAAGCATCAAACAAGAAGCTTTATGCTTAGTGTCGTAGTGACGGTTACCACACTGCGATTGGCACTAAAGACTTTAAATATGTATGTGTTTTAAGCTATATAATACATTATGTAATGTAATATTAAAGTCATAATAAATACAAATAAAAGGTATGTATTTAGTAATAAAGGAAAAGGAAACTTACAGGTAATTTGTTAATATTGCATAAATTTTCAAGAAATTTTCGACATCGTTTTTTTACTAGTTTGGTCTTCAATATTACAGCCAGTACATTTCACTTCTGTTTCCTTAAGTGCAGAACTACTTTCATAAATGCCAGAACTAGTGCTTGGTACAGCCAGAGCAGCTATTTGCACAATAGACTCTTCATGTAATGCACTTGTTGTCTGCAAATAATAACATATTTTACAAAATGTTGCTTTATATCATACATCTAAACTACTACATTTCTAAATACATAATTATTATAAACGTTATTAAAGTATCAGAATAATGAGAAACAAAAACTAAATAATAAATAAATTGTCTACCAAAAGAATATATTATGTTACTAATTTTTAATTTAATATTATGAAATCTATGAAATCCGTCATTATATAGAATATGTAAGAAGTGTACATAATTCCTAAATTTCATGCATTTCCGGTAACATAATAAGAAACATGTACATATAATTAGTTAAGGTCACACGGAAAGTCTCAGATACATCGTCAATATGGTCACACTACTTCAGTGCAATTTCTTTTAAACAAAAACAATAAAATTGTTCAAACTTAATTAAATTCAATGTAAAACTATTTGATTTTGACAAAGTTATAATTTACTAATACGTTTAAAACACTGATAAAACGTTTCAGCAAAAATTAAGTGAAAATACAAAAAGTATGTTTACAAGTATTCAATGTCAGAAGTCACTATTTAAACACTTACGTGTGAAATCTTATATCACCTCCTGGACACCAACTACTGCTCAAACGTACTACACAAGTTTGCACCATTTCTTAAATTATAACAATACTTTAAATATCTCAAACGACGCTGTGAACTGGTAAGTAAACAACCGCCATATTTGTCTAATTTATGTTGACATATAGGACAAATAATAATGTTGCCACATTACCGAACCCTTAGGAAATGGGATTGTACTTCACTGATTCGTGAACCCAATAATGCATACGAGACCTTCAATTTTGGAATTTTTAATGTAACTAATCTTAGATCAACTATTTATTTATTGGTATATTATTTTACAAAACTTAACTTCCGATTTAGTTAGTGTGGAAATTATTTCTAAGAATTTACTGGGAGATTCAAATATAAACATAGCAATATTGTGTTCCACACCAAAAAGAGAAGTCAGACCACAGAGAGTGAGATAAAGATACGTAGGTATTTGACTCAAGCTGTTGTTCCAAGTGTGAGCACAAAGAAGTTGGCTTGGTAGTATGACTGGTCAAATTAATGAATAGGTGCACATAATTGCTCACTAAATGCTCAATTCAAATCTGCAATTGCTCACATTATTAATTTATTATTTAAATAGTTATTAATAATTTAAAATACAGATTTTTTTTTGTCTATTATACTTAAAACCAATAAACTATTTTTTAAATGAATAACTGCCCATAATTGCTCACAAAATGCTTAATTTAAATTAGCAAATGCTCACACTATTAATAAATTATTTAATTATTTATTAATAATTTAAAATACAAAATTGTTTTTTCCTACACCGATCAGATTAATGAATATGCGACCATAATTGCTCACAAAATGCTTAATTTAAATCCGCAAATGCTCACACTGTTAATAAATTATTTAATTATTTATTATTAATTTAAAATACAAAATTGTATTTTCCTACACCGATCAGATTAATGAATATGCGCTCATAATTGCTCACTAAATGCTCAATTCAAATCTGCAATTGCTCACACTATTAATTAATTATTTAAATAGTTATTAATAATTTAATATACAAAATTTATTTGTCTATTATACTTAAAATCAATAAACTTTTTTTTAAAGGAATAACTGCCCATAATTGCTCACAAAATGCTTAATTTAAATTAGCAAATGCTCACACTATTAATAAATTATTTAATTATTTATTAATAATTTAAAATACAAAATTGTTTTTTCCTACACCGATCAGATTAATGAATATGCGACCATAATTGCTCACTAAATGCTCAATTCAAATCTGCAATTGCTCATACTATTAATTAATTATTTAATTAGTTATTAATAATTTAAAATACAGATTTTTTTGCCTATTAAACTTAAAATCAATAAACTTTTTTTTAAATGAATAACTGCCAATAATTGCTCACAAAATGCTTAATTTAAATCTGCAATTGCTCACACTATTAATTAATTTTTTTAAAAGTTATTAATAATTTAAAATACAGATTTTTTTGCCTATTATACTTAAAATCAATAAACTTTTTTTTAAAGGAATAACTGCCCATAATTGCTCACAAAATGCTTAATTTAAATCCGCAAATGCTCACACTATTAATAAATTATTTAAATATTTATTAATAATTTAAAATACAAAATTGTTTTTTCCTACACCGATCAGATTAATGAATATGCGACCATAATTGCTCACAAAATGTTCAATTCAAATCCGCAATTGTGCACACTATTAATTAATTATTTAATTAGTTATTATTAATTTAAAATAAAAAATTGTTTTTTCCTAAACCACTCAGATTAATGAATAAGTGCTCATAATTGCGCAGTAAAAGCTCAATTCAAATCCGCAATTGCTCACATTATTAATTTATTATTTAATTAGTTATTAATAATTTAAAATACAGAATAGTTTTCGTCGATTATACTTAAAACCAATGAACCAATTTAAAAATCAATTAGTGCCAATAATTGCTCACAAAATGCTTAATTGAAATCCGCAATTGTTCACACTATTAATTTATTATTTAATTAGTTATTAATAATTTAAAATACAAAATGGTTTTTTCCTAAACCACTCAGATTAATGAATAAGTGCTCTTAATTGCTCACTAAATGCTCAATTCAAATCTGCAATTGCTCACATTATTAATTTATTATTTAAATAGTTATTAATAATTTAAAATACAGATTTTTATTTTTCTATTATACTTAAAACCAATAAACTTTTTTTTAAATGAATAACTGCCCATAATTGCTCACAAAATGCTTAATTTAAATCCGCAAATGCTCACACTATTAATAAATTATTTAATTATTAATAAATAATTTAA